GGATGGATGGATGGATGGATGGATGCCCTGCACATGGTGGGCAGCGCTGGCAGTGTGTCCTCCTGCTGGACCATCCGTGGGCGCCAGCCGTGCTTTCAAGGAGCCAAAGTGCTCACCTGCCGACCAGCCTGAACCAGGGAAAGCGGTCGTAGAAAGGATCTCCACCAGTCACCACATTGTCACAGTCCTCAATGACACTGGAAGGCACTTCTGCTGCTCGGTCRTACATCTCACGCATCAGGTCCAGGCGCTGCCTGCAGGGACAGGGGACGCCGACAGTGGCAGTGAGACACAGGGCTGCGGCACCCACACCGTCCCGGCACAGCCATCTCCCACCCACCTCAGCTTCTCCAGGGTCCAGTAATGGGTTGCCCCGTTCTTCTGGTCCTGCACCTCCACAGCCACAATGGTCCGGGGGAAYGGCCGCTTCTCCCGGTCCTTGGCAGCATCGGGAGGCAGCAGGTCGGGAGGGAGAGGCGAGTACAGCGTGTCCGTGAGGAGCACAAACTGGAACTGGACCTGGACAGGGGCACAGGGGGTGGTGAGAGATCTGGGAGGGCAGAGGGCTTCATAAGGTGTCTCTGGTGACCCCTCCTCAGTACTGCCTGTTCTCATGGCCTCTGCTGTGGGTGCTGCAGAGAGCCAGAAGGAGGTTAGCCACCCACCCACCCACCTTCTTTTTCAGCTCCACGCTGATGGCATTGGCTTCCTTGAGGAAGATGGCATTGCCCCAGAGCAGGTCACGGAGGGAGGTGAACTGGTACCACTTCCACTTCCTGAAGGCCCAGAGAGCGAGCTCGAATTCCCGCTCCGTCCACTGCACTGTGGGGACATGGAGGGACAGTCACCCCACGGCCAGGACATCAACACACGGTTCACTCTTCATGCTCCACACAGAGCATCAAAACCTCACGGTGGCTCCCAGCCCTCACCTTCATCCTCAGGTTCTTCCTCCTCCTCATTTGCCTCAGGGTAGTACCTGGAGTCCATCTGCTTCTGCAAAGCCTCCAGTTTGCTCTCGTAGTCCTGGGGGAAAGGGAAGAGAGGTGATGCTATGCACTGGTGTGACCTTCCTCCATGCTGCCCCATCRCACTCCTCCAGGAACACTCCCACCATTCTCCTCCCTCCCCTAGATCAGTGTTTGTGATAACCTCTCCAGGAACAGATCAGCCGTTGTTTTCAGAACACAGATCCACCCCACACTAACATCAGCCACAACTTCAGTCACGCCTGGGCAGCCTGAGGAGCCAYGTCCTGGCCACCTACCAGCCTCTGCTGCTCCAGAAGGTAATTGGCCTCTTCCCGCTCCTTCCGGTACTGGTCCTCCAGTTCCTGGAGCCTGAGTGGACATGGGGAAGGACATCATGACCAGCCTGGAAGTGGACACCCAAGTCCCCAGCACCTCAGGCCRTGCTCTCACCGCTGCTCCATCTCCTGTTTCATGTCGATGCCTTGCTTCTCCAGCAGCTCCCTCTGAGCAAAGGCCCAGTCCACGGGCTCGGCGGGGGTCTCAGCGCACGGGGTCCGCTCCCGCTCCTGCCGAGCCTGCTCGGGGTGGTTGAAGCGGAACACGTGGCTCTTGCCCATGATGATGCGGTTCCCTGCAGGGATGTGCATGGGGTTAATGCGGGACGAGTGCAGTCCCCTCCATGGGAGGGAGGAAGGGTTGGAGCAATTCTGGTGTGCCAGCCCCAAGGACCCACCTGAGCGCAGGATGCTGGGCTCCGTCACCTTTTTGCCGTTCACGTAGGTGTCAGCGCCTTCACAGGGCTCCAGGGTCACTATCACTGTGGAGATGAGAGAGGGGAGTGAGGGCAAGCTGGGAGCAGAGGGGTAAATCCTGCACCTCCTGCTCCGCTGCTCCAGTGGCCTCAGAAAGGGAGAGCCACCCCAGCCAGSRCCCCAACAACAGCACCAGACCTCAGGCAGCAAACAGCACTCWGCTGTTAATCACTCTGATGTTAATCAGAGCAGTCCCAAGGACTAAGAGCAGCTGGAGACTCCTGTGAGAGGAGACAGAGCCTCCAGAAGGCAACGCCATCCTCCCCAGGCTCATCCGCCACAGCCCCTTCCCACCCAGGTTCCTGCAGAATTTTGGGGTGTGGGCTCTGCTCCACATCTTGAGCGGGGGAATCACCCAGTCTGCTCAGCCACCCTGCCCTGAGCCCCTCCCTTTGCTCTGCTCCCACATGCCTGGTGCGAGCTCCCCTCYCAGCCATGAGGGGTGTAGCTCATCGGGCAGCACGGAGAGGCCACAGCCATGCAGTAAAGCCCCATTTGAGGAGGGCAGGACATTCAGCTGGGGGCAGGGGCTGAGGACATGCAGAGGGATGGGTCCCCAGGGCAGTGAAGCCCCCCCAGACAAGTGATACCTTCACCAGTTTTGGTGTCGCTGCGGAACAGGCAGTGCTCCTCTTTAATGAAGTGCCCGCTGAGAACGATGTCCTGCCTCTTCTCAGCATCTTCCCGGCCAACCCTGTGGGGGAAATCATTCTTAATCCTTCCCCAAAGCAGCCCCTCCTGAGTCTCCCCCCAGCCCCATCCTTGGAGATGACAGGAGCAACCCTGGGTGCACTGCAGGACCAACATCTCCAATGACATTCCCAAACAAGTACAGGTGGCCGTGGCACTTTGGGGACAGCGCCAGCCTGGGCAAAGTCAGCCACTGAGACATGGACAATGGTCCCACTGCTCCGTGGAGCAGACCCTCACCTCGTTATCCCATCCTTGATGTAGTAGAGAAGACACTCAGACATGAGCGGGTCCTCGTTCAGGTTGACCAGGTGCGGTGTCTGGGACAGACAAAGGAGGGGTCAGCCCCGAGTGCCCTGTCCAGCCAGGCACACAGGGATGTCCTGTAGGAAGAGGGGAGCTCAGCAGCACTGCAGGCTGCCCCTGCACAGGCTCCCCTGCCCTCTGCATCCTCAGGGCTGCACGTCCACACAGTTCCAGGGGATGCAGCGAGGCTGGTGTGAGATTGCCCTGCTTCCACGAGCGTCCCTGCTTTCCTCTTCCTCCCTACTCACCCTTCCTCTGGCCACCTGTGTAAATTCATGTTCCAAACAGGCCCAACACAGAACCAATTCCCATGGGGAATCCCTGRTATGGCTCAGGGTCTCCTGGGGCTGGATCCATCTCACCTGTGCTTGTGTTATGGAACCATGGGATGGTTTGGGTTGGAAGGGATATAAAAACGCATCTCCTTTGACTCCTCTGCTATGGGCAGGGACATCTTCCACTATCCCAGGTTCCTCCAAACCCCATCCAACCTGGCCTTGAACAATTCCAGGGATGGAGCAGCCGCAGCTTCTCTGGGCACCCTGTGCCAAGGCCTCACCCTCACAGGGAAGGATTTCTTCCCAATATTCCCATCCTAACCCTGCCCTCTGCCAGGACAAAAAGAAAGTAAAAGTGCCCGTTTTCCTCCACTGATTGTACATCAGATGAAGCACCCAAAAGAGCAGGTGCCAGAGTTTCAAATAAAAGCAGTGGAGACCTGAAGCCCTATCTGCTGGCTGAATTTCACTTTCTGGTCTTCTCCCTAACAGGTCCCTCCCATCCCTTTCTTCCACTGGGTCACAAACCACTTTATTCTTGATGAGAGGGCAATTTTTCCCGCAGCCATAGGCCTCTCTGGCCAGCTTAGCTGCTGGGATTACACCTTCAGGGAATAGGAGTATCAGTGGGAGAAATTCTGAGTTTCCCAGACAGAATAGTGACTGTGAGGAACACCAGATCAGCCTTGCTGAGACCCAGCATGCAGAGGGGTCCCCTCAGCAYGGCTGACAGCAGAGACTCACTCCAAACAGGGCAGCAGAGATGGAGTCAAGGGAAAGATGGGCTCTTCTCCAGGGTGGCTGGCAGAAGTTGGCTGTAACATTTAACCACTCACCCCCACTGGAGGCTCAGACTCTGTCACTTGCAGTTTTTGTCCTGATTTGCAAAGCTGGTGGTGATCTCTGCTGAGCTCCTGGAGCCATCACCACCCCAGCCATGGCACACAGCAGGGCACTAAAATGCAATGCCCATGACTAAACGAGGGCTGCACACTTTGAACACTAACTCTCCTCACCAGCCACTGGAGAAGTCAGAAGAGTTTCCACCTCCCAGACAGGCAAAGAGCAAGGAGGCACCGAGACCACCACAGCAATGCCCCACCTCCAAGACSAACCTGCTTTGGGGAATAAACCCCCACGCTTCCTACCCAAAGGTCTGGAGTCCTAACAGGCAGCGGCTGGGACAAGAAACAAAGACAACAGGGCACAAATTTATCCTGAAAGTCATGCTGGGTCTCATGAGGGGAAGGCTGCGAAGTCTTTATCACCACCTGAGCTGGGGACACACACGCTTGAGAGGTTTGGCCAAGCCAAATGCTACAAACAATAAAGAGATTAAATGTTTGCCCACCCACATTTCTTAGAGAGGACTTGCTGGACTTTTAAATATCTGAAAGTATGGATTTTTAAAAGCTAACACTGAAGTCCAAGAGAGCAATCATCACCAAATAGCCTTGTGAAGGGGGACAGCACCCCAGCAGTAGGGGCTGGACATCCATCTATGTGTTTCTACCCACGTTTGTACCCAGCAGGATCCCAGTACTGGGATCTCCCCCATGGGCTTCAGAGCCAAGAAAAGGCCAGTGAAGTATGTGGGGCTGGCCAGCTGTGACAGAGCAGATCAGAAGGGAGCTGCAAAAGGGGGTACAAACCAGTGCCCAGGAAGAAGAGAATGGGATGATCCTACCTTTTTAGGTGAAAAAACACCCAAGGTGCCTCCATCCTCCCTCATGGCCACCCCCATTTCAGCCAGCAACGCTTCCCTGAAGGAGCAAGGGAAAGAAGAGCCTGTCAAAACTTCACGCACCCCTGGGGTCAGCACCAGGATGGAAGCCCATGGTTTGTCTCATGGATTGCAATGCAGGTCTTGTTACAGCTCTCATCATAATTCAGGCAGGTTTTTCAGGGCAGCCCACCTCTATAACAGGCTGACATGGTGGCTACTGGGGTGCCCAGGAGGCAACCCAGCATCTGGCTGGACATTCAAATGTTTGGGGTTCTAGCAGAGTGCAGAGCACAGGAAATGCCCAAGGAATGCCATCCCATCCCATCCCATCCCATCCCATCCCATCCCATCCCATCCCATCCCATCCCATCCCATCCCATCCCATCCCATCCCATCCCATCCCATCCCATCCCATCCCATCCCATCCCATCCCATCCCATCCCATCCCATCCCATCCCATCCCATCCCATCCCATCCCATCCATCCCATCCCATCCCATCCCATCCCACCCACCTCTCCATCCGTATCGCTTCCGTCCGTCGCAGTTTCTCCTCCCATGTCTCGTTCAGCTCTGCAATGATCTTCTCAGTCTCCTGCCAAGTGTGGGTTGAACACGGGGTCAGTGCACCCACAGGCAGCCCACCTGACCCCCCTGCCCAGCCCCAGCATGTTCCAGTRAGTCGCTGCTCCCAGTTTCAGGCTTGTTTACACAGCCGCAGCAGCATTTCACCCACATTTTTCCATCAGTCCCATCCTCAAAGAGTGAAGCATAAAGACCAAGTTCTCCATTCCCTTGCTGCCAGTGTGCTGAGCCAGGAGCGCTCATCCCATGGCCGGAGCACCCACCCCAAGCTCACAGCACCCATCCCACAAGGCAGCACCAGGAAGACCCCACAACACCCAAACCCTCAGTTTGGGCAAGCTCTAAGTCTGTCCACTCTGCAAGTGCACATCTGAATATTGTGTCCCGTGAGGATCACCCTCCCTGGGCTCCCAGAAAACAGCACGGGAACACCCTGCAGGGCAGCAGCCTCTCACCTTGAGCCTCTCGATGGCCTCCTCGCTGCCAGGAGCGAACATGATGCGCTCGTGGAGGCTGGCAACCGAGGCAGCACGGCTGGACAGGGCAGAGAGGGAGGAAGAGGGGCTGATCCCGGCGATGGCGTTGGTCACTGTGGAGAGATTGTCATGGCGCTGACTCAGCTCTGCCCCTCTAGCATCATTATTGTTCTCAAAGTCGGACACATCTACGGGCGCGGGAGGAGGGATGGGATGGGCCGGGGAAAGACACACAGACAGGATGACAGAGAAAGACAGAGACAAGAAAAGCTGTTGGGAAAAAAAAAAGAGTGGCCGGTGCGTCGAGAAGAAAGCCAGGAGTTAACAGGAAAAGGCACAGGCAACAGCACAGCGGTGCAGACAGCAACGGGGCAGGGCAGGCACTCTGCTCCCCAGCCTGGGCAGCCCTCAGGGAACGGCTGTGGGGTGAAGCAGATGCTGGAGCAGCCTTCCTGGGCTACCAGGGACACTTGTGCAACACCAGGTGCTGCATCCATCAGGTCTGGGGTCAAACGTCCTCCCCAGATATGTGCCACTGCCTCTGCCATCCCACCCCTCTCATACAGCCTGGGCTGTTCCCCCTGCCCAGATGCCCCAGATCAGACAGATCTGGGAGCAGAGAATGAGAAGTGAAGGGGATGAGAGGGGGTGGCCCTCTGTCCTACAAAGGGATCAAGCAGACAGGGCAGGAGAGGTGGCAGGATTTCCTCACAGGATGTGCTCAAAGGAAGCCCATGGCTTGATGGAGCAGCACCTTGGCCAGGCAGCCAGAGAGTGRAGCCAGGACTAGAGGCAGGGGTGCTCGCCAGCTGGCATGTCACCCCAAGGATCAGCTGTGGTGGCTTAGGACCCAGGGACCGGAGATGCTCCTCCAGCCCTGAGCAGCTCTGGGTCTCAGGGCACTGTGCCAGAGGCGGGCAGGGCACAGGTCAGCMGGTGCAGGAATAGTCACCCATCTCCCTTAGCCCACATCCAGGGAAGCTGAGCCAGGAAGGGACAGCCAGGCCCCTGTCCCCTCAGCAGGCTCACCACAGCCTGACCCTGAGTGGTCATCCATGGGGAGAAGCCTCCCCTCCATCAGTAGAGCACCATTCCACCCCACCCCAGTGCCGTGCCAGGCTCCAGCCCCGTGAGACAGCACCAGCAGAAGCAGCAGCAGCAGCAGCAGTGACAGGAAACGCTGGGGAGCACGGAGGAGGAGGGCCCTGTGCGGGCTGAGCCCTTGGCATGGCCAGGGGGAGGACACTGGTCCCTTCAGCACTGTCCCCAGCCCAGGTGCTAGCCACAACAGTGCCACCATCCCCAGTGCCAGCTCCCTGAGGATGGCCAGCCATGACAGTGCCACCATCCCCAGTGCCAGCTCCCTGAGGATGGCCAGCCATGACAGTGCCACCATCCCCAGTGCCAGCTCCCTGCGGATGGCCAGCCACGACAGTGCCACCATCCCCTGTGCCAGCTGCCAGCCCATCAGCAGGGATGGCTGCAGGAGCTCTCGGCCACGCCGCACGGTGCCCCCGGGCACAGCCTGCGCCTCCCAAAAGCCGTGAAAGCGACAGAGAGTACCAGAGATGGGGAATACACACATTTGGATCCTCCCGCAGCAGGATGGGCTAAAGAGAAAGAGAGGGCGGGAGCGGGGGTAAGACACAGAGAACAGAACAGGGGGGATCATCTCAGTAGGATATCCGAGGGGAGCCCGTGGGCGGGTGCGGTCCCAGGAACACCTTCCTGGCACCTCTGCTGGGTGCTGGATGCTGAGGATGGCGGGTGGAAGGGAAGAAGGGAAGGTTTGCTGGGCAGAAAGCAGCTCCCCCTSCACCAGGAGGGTGTTGGGGCCCGTGACCATGCGTGCAGGGGCTCACCAGAGGCAGCGGGATGCTGCCATGGGGCCAGTGGCACAGGATGCGGGGTGGCTGTGGGGACATCAGCCCTGCATGGCACAGAGCAGCCATGGTACCTACTGTCAATGATGTCCCCSAGGCCCTGGGCGTAGAGCAGGTCCCGCAGCCGCGCCACCTCGTCCTTGAGCTCCCGGATGAGTTTGTTGTTGGGGTCCTCGTTGATGACAGCGTTGCAGCGGATCTGCTTGGCRCGGTCGGCGTACCTAGGGAACGGCATGGTCTGCAATGGCGGCGAGAATGGGGCAAAACCCGGCTGCTGGGCAAGGAGGGATGCTGCAGAGCCCCTCCAGAAGAGGATCCTTTGGAGGATCCCAGTGCCAGGACAATCCTCTGGCTGCCTGGGGCTGCAGGTTCCCTCCCCAGCACACCCCCAGCCAGGGACACCGCAGAGGTGAGGACAGCACGTGGCCTCAGACAGGGCCCTGCTCTTGCTCACTGCAGGGAGAAGGAGGGCTCGTCCTCCTACCTGAGGGTGCTGAGGGTCTCATCGTAGTTGATGTCAGCAGGACTGAGAGCAGCAACCATGGCGGTTCTGGAGTTGCCTCCTGCCCGGTGAGACACACCCATGAGGGACAGCTGGCCCCTGTGCCCCTGTCACACTGCCTGGCAGCTGTGCCCGTCACCAGCCCACACCCCCACTGTCCTCACCCAGGTTCTCCCGTAGCAGCCAGGTCAGCACCGAGTCTCGGTATGGGATGAAATCCGTCTTCTTCTTCTTTTTGTTCTGGGGAAGGAGAGCAAAAGGAAGGGCTGTCAAACTGTCTGCTCTCTTCAAAGAGAAGGTGACAGCTGGTCCCCATGGGGACTTGGAGGAGAATGGCTCTCCTGGCCACTGCAGCCTCAGACATCCTTATCAGTGAAATGCCCTGAGCTGGGGGGATTGTTTAAAGCTGGGTACCAAACCCCCAGAATAAGGAGGAGACTGAAGATTCTGYCAGCCCCAAGGACAAGAATGGCTCGAATCCAGGCACAGCTTTACTCCCAAACCACCCTGCAACCCACTCCCAGCATGCTAAAAACCCTTCCCCGCCTGGGCACCTACCTTGTTTGGCCCCGAATCCTGCAAAGGAAACAGAGAGACCGTTTAAGGGAGCTGCTTCTTCCYTTGGCACCCACTACAGACCCCTGACCCTCAAGCAGAGTGGCAGGCACAGGTCCCCATGCAGGTGGCACCCTCACCAGTCCAGCTTGTCCCAGCCGCAGAGACAGCTTGGGATGTGTCTGCCCCTCCCTCGGGGCTGGGATGCTCCATCCCTCAGAGCTGGGATGCTCTGTCCCTCGGGGCTGGGATGCTCTATCCCTCAGAGCTGGGATGCTCCATCCCTCGGGGCTGGGATGCTCCATCCCTCGGGGCTGAGCCCACCCCTGCTGGCCTGAGCCCATTTCCCCCCGGTGCTGCTCTTTGTCCATGCTGTGGCCACCTACCATTTCAGCCAGGGCGGAGATGACCTTCCCCAGAGTGGTCAAGGACTTGTTGATGTTTGCTCCTTCCTGGTTACAAGAGGAAAAGCTCAGATGCTCAGGCCCSGTTTCAGAGCCACATTAAAGCCCAGGAGAATGAGGAATACCCAGTATGGCATGGGCAAAGAGCCACTGGTCTTACTGGTGACCAGCACCTCCCAGCTGGCACTCAGGGACCCTGGTGACACTGGCACCAGGCAGCTTTCAAACACTGTGCTGTCAGGGATTTTGGCACGCAGTGAGCAAGGAGTCAGGCAAGGAAAGGAAATGTTCTGGCTGGGGCTGAGGGAGGAGGACTCGGTGTCCCCACTGGGAGAAGGGGACAGTCCTCAYGCCAGCTCTCACCTTTAGCCTCGTGCCCTTGGCGCCCGTGGAATCAGCGCGCTCGCTCCCGGCCAGGTCCACCAGGCTGATCTTGCTGACCTGCAGGCACAGGGGAGGCTGTCAGCCCTGTGGCCACAGCAAACCTTGCCCAGCATGAGCCCAAAGCCTCCTGCAGGATGGCAGCCCTCTGAATGTCACAGCAGGGCCATCCCTGCAGGATTGGGTCAGGAGYAGGGCTGATATCCCCGCAGGCAGGGCTGAAGGGCACCAGCTGCCCAATATCCTGAAGAGTCCCTTGAGCTGTTCTTCCATCAGCACATGCCTGGGACTCATCTCCCCYCTGCCCCAATCCTCCATCAGGCTGCAGCACCCCATCCCCAGTGCTGATGGAAGAACACACGAGTCCTCCCTGCCCTTACCTTCTCAGTGGTGATGTCTGTCTCAGCGTCGTGCCGCTTCTGCGTGAAGATGATGTTGAACACGGCGTGGGAGCGGCTGCTGGTCTCGTTCATGTTGGTSGCAGCCACTGTGCTGCAGGGAGAGTGGGACAGGGGGTGTGACACTCTGAGGGACACTGGAGCAGCTGGTGACAGGGCCAGGGCTCGTGCCAGGACAGGGTACATGGWGGGAAGGCAAGTCTGGAGGACAGCAGAGGGCTCAGGAGGAGATGTGCACAAGTTCAGGCTTTYCCCTGCTGTCTCCAGTGCATTTTGAAGGCAGGAAGAAGGTGAGGTGAGAGCAAGTGGGGGTACCCAGCACTCAGCCAGAAGGGGACTGTCACCTCCAGAGCAGCTGGAGGATTCCTGACCAAGTAAGGAATAAAGCAGGACCTTCAGGAAATGTCTGCCAGCCTTCCAAACCCTGTCCATCTCCTTCCCCAACTCACCGGGCTTTGTTTCCAGAGTCCATAAGGTCCTGGATGTCATTGTAGGAGGTCACAGCCAGCTTGGAAAGGTCCTCAACATACGGACCCATAAGGGGGTGCTCCCTCACCCGCAGGTTGCCCTTGTTCTTGGGGTTCAGGAGGTCCCTCACGCGCTCGCAGTAGATTTCCATGTAGCTCACCTAGAGCAGAGCAGAATGAGCCGCCCAGCACCCCCAAAGAGGGCTCTGCCCACTGGCACAACCCCTAGGGCAGGGTGGGAGGCTGAAGGGGCAGGCAGGCAGTGGGTGGGTGCCTACCTCCACGGAATAGGACATGTTGTCATTCGTYGTGTCGTTGATGCGGGAGAAGAGATCCTCGCACAGCTGCGGACACAAGAGCCAGGCTCAGCCCCCCCCAGCAGGGTGCTCCTGGGGCCACAGGCATTTCTACCTTTTCATGGTGAGTGCTGGGATGGCTCCTGGGGAGCTGGCAGAGCCCCCCAGAGCGGCTCCATGCCCTGCTGGGCCAGCATGGGCAGCTCTTGGCAAGCAGCTCAGCACCTGCACTGCTGCTGCTCACATACACTGGCCTTGTGTGGCCAGAGCACAGTCCAGCCAGTCCTGAAGAGCCTGAATGACCCTCCATGGCTCTCAGTCCATAGCAGAGCCATGCCAGCTCACTGTCACTGTCACTGTCACTGTCACTGTCACTGTCACTGTCACTGCCACTGCAAGCCATTACACCTTGGCAAAACCCCGCCCTGCTGCCCTCTTTCCCCCAGCTCTGCCTTTCCTTTGGGCACCCCTTTGAGCCCAGGGGTACAGGCAGCTCTGCCAGGCACACCTGTGGGATGATGCCTTGCTGGTCCTTCTCCTGCTTGCCCATCATGGTGTAGGATTTGCCAGCTCCTGTCTGCCCGTAGGCGAAGATGCAGACGTTGTAGCCCTCGAAGGCGTGCTGCAGCATCTCCTCGCCGATGTCRCGGTACACTTGCTTCTGGGATGCATAGTTGATGTCTGCAGGCTGCACGGAGGAGAGGGACATGGGCAAATGTGACAAGGACACCCCCCTGCCTCTCCCCAGCCCGGCCGTCCAGGCGGGCTCAGGCCTCCCCGTGCTCACCGTAGTGTGGGACCAGTAGGAATAGTCAAAGCTGAAGCTTTTTGGYGTCTCTTTGGGCTGCTTTGGGTTCAGGATAGCTGGGGACAAACAGATGGGAATGTGAGGTCACCAGCCACCCCTGGCACCCCTGCATCCTCCCCATGCTCCTCAGACACATGGGAGGGGTGAAGGGTGATGTGGGTCAGTCAAAAATGGTCCTGAAAGGTGGACTGGGACCCTTCCAGATCTGCAGGTGGGTCCAGAACCCYCAGACCCCAACAGTGAAAGCAGAGGGGGTGGGTACCGTAGACAGCCCTTCTGTATAATATCAAAGTATCTTTATATACATTAGAAATCAAATTGGTTCAAGATGGAAAAAATGCCAGCCCTTCTTCCCTTCACTGTTACTTTAAGATATCTTACATGTTCAYTARAAGACCCAGCAATTATTCATTGAATTGGCTAAATGATTSTTCCTTGTTAATGCATGCTAACACAGGTAGTCTGGTCCTTTTTTCTTCTTTCTTTTTTCCTTTTAAATGATTTTTTAACAGAAAAGGAAAGGGAAACAGGGAAAACCCTGTCCTTATTCTCCTTCTTTTACCATTTTCTCTACCTTTAAAYGTCAATACCTTTGCCAGTTGGAATGGAGCTCAAGGAATTTTCATACCTTGCTTTAGTCTGAGTTGCCATATTTTCTGCATTGGCAGCTTTATACAACTGAGAGGAYTGAGCAGAGCCCAGTGAACAGGGCAGAGCCCTGCCCAAACACCTTGCTGGGCACAGTGATGAGGACATGACTCCTTCCCTCGGAGGGAACCCAAGGCATCTGCCTGTGAGAGCCCAGCACTGGCACAGGAGGGTCATAGCCTGCTTTTCCCCATGGCTGGGGGACACTGGGGGACATGTCCAAAGCTCCCCTGCTGGCACCTGTGGGGTGGGGGCAGCTGAGACCCTGCCAGGGCTCCCTGAAAGCCCCTGCAGCCTCCCCAGGTGCCYAGCCCCAGCAGGATGATTAATGCCTCGTGTCACAGCACCAGCGGAAACAAGAGTCTGTCTGCTTTTGTCACCCCCTGATGAAAAGGACGTTGCTATGGAAATTGGAGACTGCATCACTGCTCTTCCCCATGCCGTGTTTTTTTTCCCTCCTCTAGAGCATTTATGATGTGCTTTTTTTCCGAAACAGCAGATGCATCAGAAGAAACCCAAAGCAGGGTAATCACGAGATTCAGGCACCAGCCRTGCTGGGTGACATTGAGGTGACCTTGCAGGCCTGTGCAGCACAGCTCCCGTGCCCGCTGCCCCAGCTGCTTCCTGGCACAACTGAGGATGAGGAATCACAGAATCATAGAATCACAGAGTCTCAGAATCACAGAGTCACAGAATCACAGGATCACAAAATCACAGAATCACAGGATCACCAGGGTTGGAAGAGACCTTCAAGATCTTCCAGTCCAACCCATGCCCAACACCTCAGCTAACCCACGGCACCAGCACCACATCCAATCTCTCTTGAAACACATCCAAGGATGGTGACTCCACCCCCTCCCTGGGCAGCCCATTCCACTGCTTTATCACTCTTTCTGTATAAAACTTTTTCCTATTGGCACAGTTTAAGACTGCCACAAGGAAGCCACAAGCCCTGAGCTTTCTCCACCCCAACCTTCTCTGCCCTGCAGCTGCAGYCAGCCAGGGCTTGAACCCTCTCCAGTTCCAGCTGGGGCCTTCCCGAGCAGCCCCAGGCACGGTGCAGCTCAGTGCYGTGGTGTCTGATGCCCAGATGTGCAGTGTCACACATATGGATGCTTTCTGCTCRGAATTCCTCCTCCATTCCCCCCATGGATAACCCCAGTACGGGTGCACCACTTGTGGCCTGAGAACAGCCCAGCCCCGCCTGCAAGGGCAGCGAGGCAGGGAGGGGAAGGGTGGGAAATGGGGTCAGGATCCAGCCCTGACCCCAAAACCACAGCRTGGAGCTSCTCAGAGGCTCCTTCCTGCCGACASAAGCCCAGGTCTGGCGCCACAGAGGGGCTGGCACGGGCTCCCTGCCCGCCTGCCCACTGCAGACAGCCTGACTCCAGAGCTCTGGACACCTGCTGCATTCCAGGCACACTGATTACCCAGAAAAAGGTCCGGGAAGTAACAACTGGCAATCCTGCAGCAGCAAACAGCGATGTGGAGGGCCCTGGAAGGGCAGTTTTTTGGTGGCAGCCCTTTCCTGGTCCCTGCCAATGCCTGCTTGTTGTGCTGTTGTGGAGAGAAGCAGGTGTAGACACTGTGCAAGGAGTGGGGTGGAGCATCCCTGATGGCTCCTGGTGTCCAGCCTGGCAGCCCCACCATGTCACCATGTCACCTGTGCTTGGCTCTGGTCTCTGCCCAGCAGGGCTGACCMTCTCCACAGCGACCAGGGGCAGAGATGAGCGGAGCAGCAGGCAGGATGGAGCTGCACAAGGCGGCTGTTCTGCATCCCAGTGCCAGCCCATGCTGGGCACGGGCAGAGGAGCGGCCGGGGATGGCACCAAGCAGCTCCAGGCGCCCCAGCTGCAGCTGCCCAGCTGGCATGGGACACCAGGGATTGGGACACAGGGGAGCAGGGAGCATCCCAAGAGCAGGCATCTCCTGTCCTGAGCCCAAACTCTCTCCCCTTGCCCCTGCCATTCCCAYTTTTTGCCTGCAGGCAGATGGATGGTGCTGGTGGAATTTTCCCTTTCCTCTGACCAGGCATACAGGGCTTTTGCAAAGCTGCTGCCAGCAATTCATGCTCTGGGCCAGTGGGATTCAAATGGCGAGGAGGGGTRTGGAGGTGAAGAAAAACACACAGACAAGGGGGCAGGAAGGAGGAAAACTTCTGGAGACCTCCCTCACCCTGCCCTGAAGAGCACAGGAATGGGCAGGCACTGGGCAGGATAAAGCCCAGAACCCACATCAGAGAAAATCATCACCAGATTTTAAAGCTCCAGATGAAGAATATTAATGGCCCTTGCTCACCGTCCTGGTGGGAGCTGTCAGGAGAGGGGCCAGGGGTGCCAGGGRKGGTGCCCAWMGAGTGCAGGACACCACAGGAACACRGCAGCAGTGCTGGCCAGAGTGGGGTGGCTGTGGTGGCTGGAATTTGCAGGCAAAGGGACAGCAGGGAAAGGCTGATCCCTTCCCACCCTGGGCCCCCTGCCCCCACAGGGTTCAATGCATCGGGCAGGACAAGAACCTGCCTCACCCCAGCACATGCAAAGGTCTCYGCAAATCACCCTGGCCAGGGGAAAACTTGCCCTCCCTCCCCTCAAACGTGTTTATCTTTGGCTTCTCYGCAGGGAGCCGGGGGGATTGAGACAGTCCTGCTCTGCTGGCMTCCTCCTGCCTCCACCAACCACAGAATCAGGCTGCTGAGCCCCCCACACCTGCTCCCCAGCCCCCTGGCCAAGAGGATTAGCCAGTGGTTTGTCCATTCATGGGGAAAATCCTCGCTGTCAGCAAAGGGCTCCTGCCTGYGCAGGGCTGGGGGCACAGCCGGGGTGAGCAGGGGGAGCAGGGGCAGACAGCTCTGAGCAAACGTGGCCATGGAAGGGTGGGGGATGCCTGAGGCTCCTGACCAGGCCTGGGGCCATCAGAACCACAACTGGGGACTCTACCCCRCCTGCTCCCTGGCCCTGGGCAGGTGGGAAGCTCCTGCATGGCCAGGAGGGGGGAAGCTCTGCACCCCGGGCAGATGGAGAATCCCTGTCCAGCCACAAAGGGAGAACCCCCACAGGATCCAGAGCCCAGCAGATGCTGCCCCACAGACCTCCCATCCCTG